CTAGACGAAGTGAAGGAACTAGGACTATTGGCGCTGTCCAGCGACCAGTTCACCCGAAGCAGCCCAAACGGCCAATCAAGAATTCGGTAAGCAAAACGAGGAAGGACACAAGCACACGCGAGCTAACCGCTTAACCCATTAACATCCTATACAACTAGGGAGACATTACAGTGTAATTCTACTTATCTCTCTTGCTACTTTTACTGGATCTGGAGTCGCGTCCTTCGTAGAAATTTTGTCCAGGCGATTCACGTCCCATGTCGCTTCCTTTGCTAAGCTTCTCCTTACAGAAACCGGTGCCGGAGCAGTTACCAAAGGCAGCACTTAATTTCTGCTCTAGCTAAAGAAATCAAGCTGGGAGTCTCCTATGAAAGGCTTCTATTTCCGTCCCACTACGTTAGAAAATAAGACTATCCTAGTGACGAGAGGAATTATGTTAGTTAGGTAGACTATTCCACATTCGTCCATGCATATCTTGTTTGGGTTCGTACCACCAGGCTTAACAGGTGCCCTTTGCAACTCCTAATTGTAGCACAATGCCAGAGTAGAAGAAAGGCATTGGCACAGTCGTAGAAAGGTGAGTTTGAGATGAATGCTGCATGGGTTATTCTGTTATAATATTTTTTGGTAAAATAAGCGCAGTGATTACAATTTAAGCAAATAAAAGCTATTGTTTTACGACCCAATGTGTTCGACCTGTCGTTTCAATCATGGCGCTTAAGTTTCAAGGTTGACACTGCTTATTTGTAAGGCAAAATCACGTGCTAATTGTTCACCAAAGCCGTATATTGGGTGCCTGATTTTACAACTACGTGTATCATCTGAATTTTCTTCCCGCTAATAGCCTGAGTTCATTATAGCGTTTGAATTAATTTTAATCACCGTGTTTCCCTTTGTTTTGATCTATGTGCACATGAATAAGAACTTGTTGTAGGCGTTTACAAGGCGTGGTGAAGTTAAGATAAACTACACCCTGGCAATTATTGACGAGGAATACACGATCCAGTACCTTGTCTTCTTCAATGACGTAAGTTGAAGTGCTTCTTCAAGCCTCAATGGCGACTTTTCTTACCGGCCGTTACAAGTAGCAGTGCTTCTATAAATCTTTCTACTTGTATGGTAAAGTAGAGTGTGAGACCTTTGCTTGCGCACCATAGACCACTTGTCCTACATTGACATTTCCTCGATATTCATAATCGTAAGGTGATTATCAGATGCACGACGTAAAAATTTAGTTAGATTGACTTCAGTTTCTCCAAACAGCCATCTTTCTTTAGAGTTATAAGTTTTGCTCTTTTTATGATGCAACATTTCTGTGTCAGGGTATCCTTCGAAATTTGGTGGAAGAAGTTGACAGGGTTCTTTTATAAGAACCGTGTATCAGATGCACGCGCATTCCCGAATCGGTCCATCCCGACCTAAACGTAGAGCTTACTGCTCAATATTAGTAAAAACATTACTCGAATTTAAAAATTCTCAAGTAATTAATTAATAAAATTGCACGCTGTAGGTGAATTCACATAGATATTACAAAAGCACAAAGTTTTGCTAAATGGCGTACTGTTCAAAGCCACTGGGCTAATTTCTTTAGCAAATTAATTCTAATAGTAGGAGGTGAATTCGCGTCAAGGTGCAGATTTTGGATTATTGT